CTGCATTACCTCCTAAATCTGTTAGCCAAAGTGACTCCTGAATAAACCCATTACAACTTTATTCAATTGAATGAGGATCTTCAAAAGGCCTTTACAAACTTTCTTTGAACAGCAGAAGTCACTCCATTGATTGATTGATAGCAAATTGACCTATTCAGTGTATATTTGATAATCCATTCATGAATTAATCTAAATTTAGTATCAAATGCAATGTAACTAAATAAAAGAGAAAATAAATATCAATAAGTGTCGTATGTAAGTCAACGGAACAATGTGAACTTAGAAGAAGAAGAAACCAAGATATTTAGTATCTTATTCAGGCAATGAAAACACATACTGTAGTTTAAAAAAGCAGAAATAAAGTCTGAGCTAACAGAAGATGCTCCGTTTTGGTTTATTTAATACATACAGTTAAACTCACACACACTATTTTATGAATATAGGTTCACCTACTGAATTTAAAAAGAACAAATGAACCAAAGACAGTGAGAACCATAAAGCAGATTCAGGCATAGGCGTTTAGACTCACACAAAGTATTAGCCTACAGAAAGTTCAGTTTACAAAGAAGAAATACAATCTGCTCCTTTAACAACAAACACTATACTCTTTTAGTTTTTAGTAACATTGTAATACTTCTACTAAAACTGTAATTTATTGTGTGGGCCCTTAAGGGAGTATATCTTTCCTAGTTTGGTGTTAAAGAACTTGACCGGCCTGCACAGAGCTCTGACCTTAGCCAAATGGTAAACTTTGGGATGAACTTGAACACCAACTGTGAGTCAGACCTGAGGCCTGTACTACGAAGCTGGTTCAACCTAACCTGGATATGTTTGAGTTAGCCGGTTGGCCCAAGCTCTCGCTAAGCTGTACTACGACGCTGGTTATCAAGTGGATCGCTCAAGCCAGCCGTGTCCTATCTAGTTAGGTGCGCGTTCACATGAAAGGGGTGGTATTTGCAGCGATCGACCAATCACAAACATGGACAAGCGTACTGACAGCGCAGCACGTCATACTTCCTGAATGAAAAGTGAACTTTAATATTAGTCAAATATGAAGAAGTTAAACTTTAAACATCCATGACTTAAACACTTTATCCAGGATAAAAGCCACATAGCTGCACCTGCAAGGTGAATACAGCTGGTAAAAGAAAAAGCGTTTGAATGCGTACATTAACAGGTTTATGAAATCACTGCCCCGTCCAAGACACGAGTGGATCTGACTTTAATTACATTTGACTCGAGTGTTTCGTCAACTTAAAGGTGGGGTAGGTATGTTTGAGAAACCGGCTCGAGATACACTTTTTGTTATATTCCATGGAATGCTCTTAACATCCCGATAGCAATGAATATCTTAAGTGCTTTGACAAAAAATCCCTAAAAAAATATCATCTGTGGAAGCCGTAATACTGTAAAAAGCACGACCAATCATTTTAGCCGGCCCGGCTAAAATAACTGGATGGCCTACCTGCCTGTCAGCCTTCCATCTGTGCACAAACTTATCTCGTGCCCTCATTGGTCATGTGCACGTTCGTGTCTGTTGGAGGAGGGGCTCTGTAAGGAAGTGGCAGATTTTTTCCGGCTGTGTATATTCAAATTCTAGCACACTCGAGCTGGTTTCTCCAAAATGACCTACCCCACCTTTAATGTGTTGCTTAAAATAATACTTCTGCATACAGTATGTGACACTGTAAGTGTTGCATGGCTCAAGAAGCTGACTCAAATAAGGAAATATATGATACATTATGATGTGATATGATATGAATGATAATGGGACACATCGACGTCTGCACTCACAGTGCCGCGGACTGTACTTAAAGTGGACCTATCATGCTATATTTGAATAATATAGTGTAGGACCATACCTATATAAGGCATATTTATACTTTTTTTTTTTCAAAATACCAAACAGATCATGCATTTTAGCCATGCCTCATTTTGCTCAATTTGACAATTTATAGCTCTGTTTGTGCAGGGGCAGATTCAGTGAGAACAGCACCATCTACTGGCCTGGCATATGTACTACAGCGTCTCCAGCGCTTTCGAATGGCAATGGCCGTGGCGGTCTCCTCCTGATTGGTGGAGTTGGCCCAATAGCCGTAGCGCCACCGTCCTGACGTCAGGACAGTGTTCAAATCTGGATCAGTTTTTATCAGATCCGTTGCAGCCCCTTTTTTAGAGATTTGGTTATGGAGGAAAATAGAGAGGGTTGTGTTTTCTGACACTTGGTGAGTTCCCTGGAACACCGGGGACACATATTCATGTATAAAAGACGTACAAAAGTGCATTTTGCATGATAGGTCCCCTTTAATGTTACTTTGATCCGGTTACTTATGTTGTGGCAGATATTTAAGTAAGCTTTCTTAACGCTAATGTTATAATAGTAAGATTGCTCTGAAGATGGGAGGGGATATTCTATGAATTTTCACGTTCACACAGTCAGTTGATTTTTGCCGGCCGTCTTTCCTGCAACGGAATTGGAAGAGATCACAGCTGAAATATGCAAACTAAAGTCATGGCTAAACAGTAATAAGTTATCATTAAACTTGAATTAAACAACATTAATCATATTTGGAAATAGCAATACACAAGCATCCATTAAGATAGATGGGATTTTCATTGAGAGAGTTAAAGAACATAAATTCCTTGGAATCACAATTGATGAGAAACTGAGCTGGAAACCACACATAAAACATATTCATTCCAAAGTCTCAAGAAGTATTGCAATATTAAACAAGGCAAAACAGATTCTTGATCAAAATTCCCTCTACATTCTTTACTGTTCATTGGTTTTACCTTATTTAAGTTACTGTGCAGAGGTTTGGGGCAGTAATTATAAAACTACAACACAATCCCTATTTATTCTACAAAAAAGAGCAATAAGAATTATTAAAAATGTCGGCTATAGGGATCATACAAACCCATTATTTTTAGAGCTAAAATTATTAAAACTGTCAGATCTTGTTGAATTCCAAATCGCACAAATCATGTTTAAGGCAAAAAATGTTCAATTACCTGGGAATATTCAGATATTGTTCAATGAAAGACAAGGGAATCATTATTTACGGGGTTCATTTATATTCACTAATGTTAGGGTGCGCACAACAAAGAGAAGTTTTTGTGTTTCTGTTTGTGGGGTGAAGATCTGGAACAATTTGAGTGAAGAGCTAAAGGGATGTCCAAACATAAAACTATTCAAAAAGAGGTATAAAGACACAATTCTCACAAGGTACAGGGATAAAACTGCTAAACCATAACTGTTTGTATTCTTGTTTTGTATTTTATTTATGAATTTGTGTTTGTATGAATTTGTGTATGTATATATATATATATATGTATATATATATAAATATATAGAGACCATTGTCCTAACTTGCCTGTAAATATTATATGAATGATTATATAAATTATTCAAAATTATAAGTATACGTTTATATTGTATGTTAACATATATTAAGATGTAAAAAAATAAAAATAAAAATAAAAATAAAAAAGGGAGAAGGGGTCGGATTAAATAAGTGTAAACTTCTTCCGACCCCTTTTCGGACGTGTAATTAGCTAAAGCTTTATTGTTTATTGTTATTGATATCAGACAATGATACTGCAGATTATTCAATTATTATTTAAATGTTTCGTTTTGTTATTGCATTCATTTGTATTGTACTGTATCATGTCTGTATCACCTTTTGTTTCATTTGTATTTTCTTTGGTTTTACACGCTCGAAAAAAATAAATAAACTAAACTAAACTAAACGGCAGTTTTTCTGTATTTCCTCTATCCTGTAATATGACTTGATAGCTTTAAACTCCGCACACGGAGCTCTGATTGGTCAGCAGGCGGTGCTTTCACTGAGTTGATCTCTTAGCCTGCAACCTAACCTGCTCCGGAGCAGGCTAGCCATTCAGCATAAGTTATCTAGCCCGCTAAAAAGAGAACCAGCTTCGTAGGACCGGAAATCCCTGAAGTTAGCTTGCTAAACGAAAATCCTGATTCGTAGTATAGGCCCCAGGTTAGCCGCTCAGCATAAGTTACCATGGAGATCTAGCCCGCTAAAAAGAGAACCAGCGTCGTAGGACCGGAAAGCCTGAGTTTTCCCTGAAGTTAGCCGGCTAAGCGAAAATCCAGCTTCGTAGTACAGGCCTCAGATCTCCAACACCTCACTAAAGCTCTTTTGGCTGAATTGGATTAAACCCCTGCAGCAGGTTCAACATGTGGTGGAAGACTGAAAACAGAGGAGTGAATCTTGTTACAGCAGCAGATTAATGCTTAGGTTACTTTTGGCCGGTAGTGTTGTTGACCAATTAGCACGCACAGGTAAATAATAAACAAATGTATTCAGAAATAAATGAATTGAAGTAAAATAATAATTGGTTATTAGCAATGAAGCTCCCTCAAACAGCAATCATACACTTTTATATTAAAACATCAGCTAGGAGCTAGATTATAGGAATAAATAATATAGTTTAACATAATATACATATTAAAGCGTTAAAAAGGCTGTTACAAAAAAGGTCCCACACTCAACATCAAACTAAAGTTAAATTCCAAAATGATTAGGCTACTTAAATAATCAAAAGTAAATGTATTTATTTATCCAGAATGGACCTATTTAATATATATTTTTGGATAACAATTAGTGATGCATTAATGCGTACATCCCTTTAAAGTTGCAACTGGTAAAGTAGGAGCTATTTTTAATAACTTGCCGTGTAGTTTCATGTATTTTAATACATCATTGTTAATAAGTTGAATGATTCCTTGTATTAATAATAGAACTGTGAGTACACAGGAACATCTTGTATTGTGTGATGTGTTCATTCATTGAGCTGGTTGTTTTGTACTCCAAGTAGAAACTGAAGGAGTTTCCTGTGATCACCACTAACCCCGCCCCCTGCACTTCCTATTGGCCAGTGTGGAACGTAAATAACCAAGCCCGCACTCCTATTGGCTGGAGCTCGGGGTTACCTCCTCTGTTTTTGATAAGAGGTCCGCGGCGGTCAGTTTACTAGCATAACATCGACGTTGTGGACACTTTATAGCAACAAAGGTTTGGACCATTCAAAGCAATAATGAAGTTCGTAAGGTTTATAATGAAACACGCCGCCTTGGCCAGTGTGCCCAAACACATCGAGCATTTCTCGAAATTCTCTCCTTCACCGCTCTCTATGAAGCAGTTTCTGGATTTCGGTGAGTATTGATAGCCTAACTGACAAGGGAGCCGTGTGCAAAGGGATTGCTCTATTTAACATGATCAGAAATGTGCTGGGATTCAGATACAGACTATAATGCATGTTTGTGTGAACTAGCATCTGCAGCAGCACAGTGCTCATAGTGCAGAGTGTTCCATCAGATGTATTCACTTCTGTCAAGTCAGTGTTATTTGAAAAGTCGGATTAAATCATCACTATATTAGGAAACTAATGATCATTTTTTTAAAAGTGCATATTTTTCATATAGTCAATAAAATGTCAGAATATTGTGAAAAAGGACCAATCAAGAGCAAAAACATATCATTTTTAAATGTATTACCATATGTGTTAAACAAAAGCATAAGCAGCTGGAAAGGGGATTTTTGGCACATCAATTATTCAAATAGTTATTCATTCAGTGTTCTGCCATCAACTATTTAGAAAGTGGTGTCAGCTCTTAAAATTGTTCACTCTACTTTGCTTCAGGTTCCATCAACGCATGTGAGAAGACTTCCTTTGTGTTTTTGAGGCAGGAGCTCCCTGTAAGACTCTCAAACATCATGAAGGAAATTAACCTGTTGCCTGACAGGCTGCTCACAACTCCATCTGTACAGACAGTGCAGAGCTGGTAAGTCAAACCAGAAAAACTGCTTCTTGTGTTTTTAAGATCCAAGTTACGCTACCCTTCAACTGTGACACTTATTATTCCAAAACAAAGGAACAACATGAGACTCTTTCTGCATCTTTTCTAACTCTTTAACACTTTATTTGCTACCAGATGTCCCGCCCCCCTTACAGTCACAGCTGTTGACCGTTAATGTCTAAATAGCAGAACAGTTTGCCAAGTTGAAGTCCTTCCAACTGTGTACAGAGGGGAGGCTCTCAGCTGTGAACTTTACCCTACTTTCTCCTCACATGTCACGTGACTTTGTTTCAGGCTCTGCTTTTCTTCCCTCTGAAAGGAGTCCGCTAAGGCGAAAACAGACTTGCCTTTTTGACTATGAGCTAATAAGATTCCAGCAGACTCACTCAACTGTTTTAAAACATATGTTTATGTGTGTGTGAACATCTTTATTTATTATTTTTTCCCAGGTACATCCAGAGTTTATTAGAAATCCTTGAATTTCTAGACAAGAGTCCTGATGACCACAAAGTTCTTGGAGAGTAAGTTCCTAAAATTCCCAACAATCTCACCTTTTTTCTTGAATTGTGTTCCAGTGACTAGTCAACATATCAATAAGTTAATAATCTGCCACTATTTTATATATTCTATTAAACATTCTTAAAAATGTCACAAAAATGCTGTTTTTCACCTTCAAATATGGAGATATTCTGCTTTTTTCTGTTTTATATTATTAAAGTTAGTATTTTGTGTTTTTCGACTGACAAAACATGACAATCAAAGTCTAACTTTATTTAATATCTGACTTCTTATAGACCTATAATTACTGACAATAATCAGTAGAATTTTCTAGTGAAACAAATGTTATAGATTAGAAGAATTCATTATAAAATGTTTATTAATTAAGAAGAAATGCTTATTAACTATGCACATATCCAGTTTGCATAATTGTTTTTAGGGCTTGAGCTAATTGTAATTTTAATTATTTATTGACATTTTATAGACCAATAATACATTGAAACAATAATTTACAGAGTTATCGATAATATAAATAATCATAAATTGCAGCCCTTATCTGATCCTTCGCTTTTTTGTATTAATAAAGCCATACGTTATTGAAGTTATTTTAGGATGCTTGTTTATGTCAAAAATGTTAAAAATACAATTGTGATTTTTTTGTAATGCTCTTATTACGCGTATTTCCCACTCACTTCTTTATTGTTCTTCCTCCCCAGGTTTGTTGACACCTTGGTCTCCATCAGGAACAGGCACAACGACGTGGTGCCCACCATGGCTCAGGGGATCATAGAGTACAAAGAGGCCTTCTCCCATGACACAGTCACCAACCTGAACATCCAATACTTTCTGGACCGCTTCTACATGAGCCGCATCTCCATCCGCATGCTCATCAACCAGCACAGTGAGTAGGCTTTCACATTTCCCAGGATTTTGAAAACTTAATCTAATTTGTTTTTATACCAGCTTTGTGTCTGAAATGTATATTTTAGTACCAGTGTGAGGTTACTATAAAACTCACTTTGAGCTCTGTCACTCTCTTGTTAGTCAGAGGGAAAAATAAGTCTTTACCCTGCAAAAACATGCAGTCCGCTTTATTGCCACGTTAAAGCTTACAGATTTCCCTTCAGTCACTAATAACAATTAAACAAATATTTATTGCAGTGATTTCCGTTTTTTTGTATTCATATCAATAAATCATATCATCATAAAGGACTCCTTTTACAGCAGATTGCCCGCTCCAGAATGATGACAATATGTTTGTTTTTGCGAGTCCTGTGGAACTAAGATTGCTGAGGGATATCATGTTCTGATAGTGTAATCTCTCTCAACACCAGCTACACGCAGGGGAAACCATGAAGCTTTAATGAATCTACTGTAGAGGCTCATATCGGTTTTATGACTTGTTTTGGTTTTATGACTTACTTAGTATTTATTGTGTTATCACATGACCTTTACAAATGTTGGGTATGAGCTGTAATGGGTCGCAAATACCAAAATTCCGATCAAAAGTCTGGTTTGTTTTGTTGATTTAAATGTAGGAAAAGGATTTTCTACAATGTTTTTCTATAAAGAGTTTCAAACACAAGGATTTTAGTATATAAAATATAATATATTCCAAGGGATCTATTTTAAAAAGTATTAAAGAAATCGAATATAACGTAATTTGTGCTTTATGTCCTTTCTTTCCTGCAGCTCTTATTTTTGATGGTACCCTCAACCCTATCCATCCAACTACCATTGGGTGCATCGACCCTCACTGTGAAGTCGGAGATATAGTCCAGGGTAATTATGCCTTAATATTGGAAAACACATTTAAAAAAATCTATCGATTTTATATTGTTATAACAATTTCTAAATGTATCATCATCCCTTTTTTTCAGATGCATTCCATAGTGCCAAGATGCTGTGTGAGCAGTACTACCTCCGCTCCCCCGACCTGATCCTGCAGGAGATGTGCAGTAAGCTTACATTAATTACATCTGGCAGTTTCAGTACAAACCAAGATCCACTCTTAATGCAGACACCTCAAAGGCCACAAGTCCTTGTTCTTAAAGAGATTTAAAGAAAGAACAAATAAAGCCGTGTCCTCTGTTTGTACACACAGACTGAGTGTTTGTTGGCAAATTAACATACGGCCTGATGGACCTGAGAGGCCCCTCATTATAGCATGGAAGCTAAAGTAAAGGCTAAATGAGCCCCGGCTCACTGCATCAGACAATATTGACACACGGTCCCTTTTCGTCATTATCTTCTTGAAAAGATAATAGCTTAGCAGAATAGTTGCCACAAATGGAAAACATTGAGAGGATAATGGATTTTAAATGAAGTGGGAAGACTTATAAACACTTTTTTGTTTGTTTTCCGTGCAGGCAAGAAGAAGAACCATCCGACGAGCATCGTATACGTGCCCTCTCACCTTTATCACATGCTGTTTGAGCTCTTTAAGGTGCGACACACTCTTAGATAAGAATTATATCCAATGGGAAGTTGATTTAAATACCACTTTAAGATATATGTTATAATATTATATTTCCTTTTTGTAGAATGCCATGAGAGCCACTATTGAGACCCATGACGACAGCAACAACCTCCCACCCATCAAAGTCCTGGTGTCCCTTGGAGACGAGGACATGTCAATCAAGGTAGGGTTGCAAATTAAAATACAGCTTCTTGAAATGGTCAAATAATATACTGTCTTCTTTGTGTGAAATGTTCATATCATTCTTAATAGCAGGTGGATTAGAACTTTAAATGTGTCTTGGTTGTGTTGTTATGTTTGTAAGCTCTGTGTGAACCAGCACATTTTTAACAAGTTCAATTGAGCCTGTTAAGATGAAAAGCTCTCACTAAGCTAATCAGTTAATGACATTAATATCTATAATAATAATTAATTAAACAGCTTGTTGAAAACAGAATTGTTTGCCGTTTTTGTATGAAAAATTACTTCAACGATTGAATTACTAAAATAGTTGGAGTTTATAATTTTGGAGATTATCTTATTGATTGCTCAACTAATCGCTGCCGTTTTAATCTCCATTTTAATTTGATTTCACACACTTTTTACAAAGTTCTTTGAGGGTTTAAACAGGAGGGATAAAGCGTGCATTTGTTTGGTTCGTAATCTCCTTTCAATGCACCCTTATTGTCTGCACTCAGATTTCTATTATTCTATACTTTCTCCAATGTGCATCCTCTAGCTGTGACCTCTTGCACATTTACCATGATGATATGTGCAGTGGACGAACAGAAGGCCACTTAGCTTCTAGTGTTAAGTGGAGGGCATGTGTTGGTGGCAGGCGGGCTCTCGTCTGCCGCATCACCTCTGTCTTTAAAATGTCTCCGTCAGCTCTGTTCAAGGACCTCATGTCACCCTGTCCCTCCTTTATCTGCCTGTCTCATCACTCTGTATCTGCCCCCCCACTCTGTATCTGCCCCCGTCTGCAGGTCAGCGACAAGGGTGGCGGTGTCCCCTTTCGCAAGATGGAGAACCTTTTCAGCTACATGTACTCCACCGCTCCTGCTCCACAGATAGGAGAGCGCACACGGCCCCCACTGGTAAGGAGATAATAGAGATATATTGACTCAATGACACTCCTACATTTATTGGAAAACACTTTTTTCTTTTTATGGTTGTTGGGTTCTTTAATCATCCCATTCTCTCTTATTAATGTCTAGTGGGAATTTCTTCAAATTTGGCAAAAATCACATTCACTTGGACTCAATGATGAACTGGATGAATTTGGTGGACGAAGGACAAAGTCAATTTGACCTTGCAAATTATATATTTGGCTATAAATCCAGAAGTTGGACACTAATTATGACAATTATACTCAAGATAATAGTAGGAGGAAATTATGTAATAATATCATTTTGTACAGGCATATAATGAACTGCAACTTGAGGCATTTATTCCTTTCTAAATACTTTTACAGGTGTAAAGTTGCTGCTTATGCACCAAAAAGCCTACACACATTGAAATGCTCATTTGGCCTTTTCTTTAAACTCTCTTCCCTATTCAAAGATTGAAATCCTGGCATCATTTAGATTCTCCCAAACCGAGTGACTTCTAAAGCAAACTTGACAAAGGACCCGTTTGTTCTGCAGTGATAGAAGGACGCTGCTGCTTGCAGTGTGACAGGGAACAAAGCCTTCTCAAACCCTTCATCCCTCTCTCTCTCTCTCTGTCTGTGTGCAGGCTGGCTTTGGCTACGGTCTGCCCATCTCTCGTCTCTACGCCAAGTACTTCCAGGGGGACCTGCAGCTCTACTCCATGGAGGGTCACGGCACGGAGGCTGTCATCTACTTGAAGGTGAGCCAGACGCGGTGATCATGCATGAAACTGCGACAGGACGCCAACAGTGTGAAAGTCTGCAGCACAGAGAGAAAAACTGCGCTGTGGCACAAGCGCCAAACTCTGCAAACCTGTCGAGCCAGGTATGACAGGATATTTGTAATTACATGTTGTCTTCCTGTCCCTCCAGGCGCTGTCCACTGACTCCATCGAGAGGCTGCCGGTGTACAACAAAACCGCTCTGAAGAACTACAAAGTGAGCCAGGAGGCGGACGACTGGTGCATACCCAGTAAAGAGCCTCTAGATCTGAGCAGATATAAAGTTCCCAAGTGAAAATGTCCCTCAAGCTCACATGTAGTACCATGAAGCCTTCTTCATATTCCCATGGCAACATTTTCCTGCTAAGAGGGTCCTCGCCAGACTAAAGGAGGCAGACTACCCTTTTATCTTTAGTTTTAGAAGTAGCATGACATCCTGAAATGATGTTGCTTTCAATCCCATCGCTCCTTTTTGGGTTCATAGGAAAATACAAACCAATGCATCATAGATCAGGTGCAGGTAGAGACATAGGAAGCACTTGCGACTAAAAACAGTTGGAATAAAAGTGGAGCGACGTAAAGGAGGCTTCAAATATTCCAGTTTAGGACAAAACAAGTGCTGCATGTTTATCACAGCAGGTGTTTGAGGAGCAAGATAAGGAAGTTAAACAGGGCGGACCTGTTGTTGAACAATGTAAGAGTGGGAAATGTCACCCATGCCTTAAAGTAGCTATTTCACCCAAAGGTTCATTTTATTTAAATAACTTAAGTATTTAAAATAATACTTATGCCGCACCGTGTTACATTTACCGTCTGTAGATTTGACAAAATGTATGACTCTGAAAGTGTTTATTGTGCTTATGCATGGGTATTTGTTTGGAGCTTTTGACCTGTAAAGGTTAAGTGACAGTTTTGCGTTAACTGATAAGATACACGGTTATCTTACCATCAGTTTTCTGGACCAGACCGACTCTCTTCTGTGCAATAATTAACATGTTTTACATATGAGAAAGTACAGCACTATAGGGCCCAAGTTCTATTTAATATAGCTTTTACCGCAGACTTGCTTTTTGTTTGGAGTTGCAAAGCTTTTAGCTGAGTTCCATAGAGGCTGGTGTTATTAAACCCCAGAAGGCAATGCATGGGCTCTCTACCAGTCTGTGTTCCAATAACGCAAGGCCAGTCTCAGATTGTTCATCTGTGCCTTGTGAGGAAAGAAATGTGTTTTTGAAAATGTTTTATTTTGTATTAAATGAATCCTTCCTAATCGTACTATAATTTAAAGGTTATTATATTTTATTATAGGCTACACTTTTTGCGACTGAAATGATTGTACATAGTGTGAATAAGTCCAGATAATAAAAAGACAACTTAAATACAACATGCTTCTCCTGTGTTATTTAATACTGCATACTGAGTGTGAGACTAGACTGTTGATTAGCTCTAAAGAGGGATTGATTGTATCAGTCAGTGGAGTCCCTGTGGTCTTCTCTCGCAGCTGTGTTAGAAGAAAGGGAGAGCAAAGTGTGGAGTAAGGCTGTGAATCTGGTGATAAAGAAGGTACCATAATACAGGGGTTATTAAAATGTCTTATATTGTAAGCAAAGTGATATGTTGGAATTTTTGTAATCAAATTTTAGCAGAACATGTAATATGGAAAACACACCGGCATGTGCATTTCATATAAGTTAACTAAGTGAATATAAGTGAATTTTTCTTTTTTGTGCTTTTCCAAGTACTCAAAGACACCTTGCAATTAAAACAACGTTTCATACAAACACATACATACATACATACATGAAAACACAAGTTGCAATAAAATGGATAAGAAAGAAAATATATAGAACAGAATGCAGATAAACCCGCAAAGTCATAAAATGGTGGAGTAGGAGTTTATCAGGAGAAGCAAGTTTGAACAGGTATGTATGGTCATTTGCTCTGATAGTGAGGGGTAGGGCATTCCAAAGGGAGGTGCATTAATTGTAGAGCACAGTACAACAAATATATATAAAAAATACAATTGTTTTACAATCGAGTATCATGAAACTATTACCAAACTGATCTGTGTCGATATGTTTTTAATGTATACCCCAGTTGCTTCCCGTCAGTGTTACTGGATCTGATCTGAAGCTGCTGATGACATCACGTTTTCTTCCCTGTATCCATTCCAGCAGCAGACCGTCAGGCACTAAATACACCTCTTACCGAATACATGGCCGCTGACTGATTTATTTTAGTAAAAGTTTCCACCCCGCTTATGTTCTTCTGCCTGTGGGTACAGTGTGACAAGGTGGGTCACACTTATGATTTTCTTTGGCCCAGAGCCCAATAGGACAGAGGTCCTCATGTGGAGTGTGTGTATCAAAATTATAATATACATTTAAATAAGCTATAACTAAACAAGCCACAACATTAAAATGCTGCTTTATTAATTGATAATTCATGATTTTATTCATATTTACAAGCAAGTCTCAAAGGGGGTATCCTGTTAAAAGAATATTTTGACGTGAGTTTCAGTATTTTAACAGGTAATACTTCTTCGAGGGAAATTTGGGATGTTGTGGTTGTTTTCTTGTCTTTTTTACATTTTCACATAAGTATAGTTTCAGAATCCTTCCACCACTGACCAATGGCATGTACTTAAAGGGAATAATACAATTATACATGAGAAGGATCAGCAATAAACTGTATTTGGTTTAAACTTTTAGTTAACTGTATAATTTTTACTTCTTAAATTCAGTGCCCTTTTCCACCCTAACATTTGAGAGTTATATAAAGTACACACACTATTTCAAGTAGCTTTGACGACTAGAGCATACCAATGACATACTCAATTTCTCTGGGGATGCCCTTCTGTTTTCGTTGATTAATAAAATATCCGTCATGTGGCACACGTCAAGTGAGGATCATTTTACAGTCAGTCTTATGTTTTTACAGGCCAATAAGCTGTCAACAACTGCTCTAGATACAGCCGTACATGTTCACCTCTAGGCTACTACAGCTACATCGAGGAGTGGAAAGAATCCAGAAGTGCCCTTCTCCGTATCTCATACAAATAAAAAAGGCTGATTACCTCTCCATAGCAACAGGAACAACTACTGTACTACAGTACAGTGACAGGAACATCATGTTCAAATCTGCATGTTCGTGTGAACTGTACACAAATATGTTTCATACACAAGGTGGGCAAAGGAACAAATTCAAAGCAATGTTGGTCTCACATCAGTCAGATATCTGGGGGATACTTGTGGAAAATAAAAGTTATGATTTAATAAAAAATCAGTCAGATGTTATGGACAAACCAGGTGTTAAGCAAGCGCACAAAGAAGTTGAGACGGGTTGGCTCAAACAGACTAATAAATGGTTACATTTAGGATCAGTTTAAATAGTTAGCTAATAGTAGGCTAATGAATTAACAAATACAAAATAGGCTAAATTTAAAGGATTATTAGCAAATGGTAATGGATAAGCAGGTGAAAAAGTTATCTAACGTTGTTGAGTTAACAGTAGAAATAGTTAGTATGTCTGTAAAATTGATAGTTAAATAGTTACATTTCATTTTTTTAAAGTGAAGACATTTGAACATAACGGGTAGTGTCGATAGGACGTTCTAACATTTATGTAAGGAGCAGTGGGTGTAGGCCTACGTTGGACAAAACATCTTGGAAACCACCACAATTCAAATAAGAACAGCCAACAGGTTACCTACTCTGATGTATGAGGACAGACAGCTCAGTGAAATCCCTTAATGACCTATGGCCTGGTGTTCCTTGTTACTGATACCAAATATCACAACCTGCCAACAAACTAACTGCCATGCCAAGAATGTGTTTAATTTTGCTGCAAATATCTGTATTGAAGCATGTGTTTGATTTTCCCTTTACTCCTATTTCTCTCAGTCTTCCTGTCTTGAAATCTTTGCTGAAGCTCTGAATAACTATCTTACTCTTTCAAATGTAAAGAGAACTAGATCATTTTTAATGACTTTGGTCAAGTTGGTTTGCGGTAACCTTAAAGTGGTCTACTTGGCAGAGAGAACCACTTTTCCAGGTGGACTAATGAGGGGAATTAGCTGTTTATGAGCTGTGTGGGTGCATATAAGGTAAAGGAAAGACGGAAATAGCATTTGGATTTAAAAGCATACTGTGTGATAAGAATTCAGAGGTCAAAGGAAAGATCATTAAAAGTAATTATTGTTAGTCTCATACAGAATGTAAAATCACACTTTTGCATAATTCTAAAGACAATACACATGTTAACGGCTGATTTACTCTTCACTTTTGTGTGTTTGTTGAGTATTCATTTTGATAATAGAGGCTGTTTATTATAATGGTAACCCTTGCTTTTCACACCTCCTCCCTCCTGTGGACAGTGTGTAGTAACTGTACTAGCAACTTTGACCACTTTGAGCTGACCATACAGAATAAAAACTGCCAATGCCGTTTTAATTTCATGTCTTTATTTGCAACTTGTCCAACAAAAGTAACACCTAAACTAAGTGAGAAAGATGCTGTTAAACGAAAGTATGCAAATTCCCCTGTCTGTGCTTTTACTGAATTTAAGGCTGAGTTCTCATCATGCTGATAAGTAACTACTAACTATGAAGATTATGTTATGAGTGAAATGTTTGCTAACATTTGCATATGATAATATACTTGGAAGATGTCCAGTATTTAACGAGGCTAGTCAGCCAAAATTCATCATTTAAATAATGTATTAGCACTTTCATAGTCTATACCCTGTGAGCTGCTCTACACATGCCCTGGTTAGCACAGGCTGTCAAATAAATTCAAGGTTAGGGGATGATTGGCTCAAATTAATACTGCAGAGAGAAACCTAATATATTCCCCGAATGTAGGCCACAGATTATCCAGGACTAAATGAAAAAAAAGACTTCAGTTCTTTTTATGTAGTTGCTCTCTTCACATGGCCTGGCTGCTGAAAATGAGGATGTAATGTTATAATATATTTATAATTTCACTGTCTTGTTATCTATATATTCATGCTGTCCTATTTGATTATTTTTTCTTGCTATCTTGTTCTTCCTTCTACGCATGTTGGAGGAGCCATCTAGTGGTCACACTTTGCATTTGCCACTGGTGAGTTTATTGCTTTTTTGTTCAGATGGTTGCTATTAACATGTGTTTGCTTTCCCCTTGTGTCAACAGAAGGGGGAACTTAAGAAGGCTGTTAGTGTAGCTACACATGGGTTGTAAGCTCAGCTCTATTTAAACGTGTATAAACAGCCTATGTTTTTAACATTGTACTATGAAATAGCTGTTTAAATGTATGTTTTTTACTGTTTGTCAGAAAAGTGCTTTAGACCTTTCTTCTTTTATAAAGTGTTTATCTTATCCTAACTCATCCGTTCATCTGAGCACTCCTTTAATTTTGTTGTATTTTTTTTGCACCAGGCATTGTTACATAAATGACAAATAATCATCGAAACATGCAGATATTAAAACACAATTGTTCTGTGATTATACAATGAGTAAGCACAAACTATTGTGCAACTGTGTTTTCCTCCCAGATGGTTGTCTTAGCTGTGGCTGTGTTTGTAGCATTGTCATCTTGTGCAATTGGCTGCTCGGGGAACACACATTCAGTGAGCATGAGCAGCTTTGTTCACGGGCTAGAAGGCAGATGGAACTTTAAGATGACAACGCTACAAACACAGCCACAGCTACATTATGCAACAACATGTTCTTATTTTTTCCCAGATGTTATTTAGCACAGACAGAACTGTGCTGAGCTTTTGTCATACTGAACTTTCATAAAGAGAATAGAACATTACATTATACTATATTAAAGCCGTGCACACAAAGTCAGTGACAGACATTTTTTCACACATAGTTCTATTTTTTTTTTCTTCCAGACTGAGCTGCAGCTTTGGAGCATGGCAATCAACCCATGGCTGTTCAACTGTGTTCAAGGTAATATGATATACTCAGTTTAAATAGAGATTAACCCTCCTATTACTTTGGTGTTCGCGGTCAAATTTGACCGGTCCTGTTTTAACTGCTATTACATTAACACAAAAACCATTAATCATCACCAAATTTAATTTAACACCCTTTCAAACTGTAAATATTGTATCAGACTACTGGTATACATGAAAAACTGCAGTAAATATACAAAGAATAGACACTGAACATGTATTGCGTGTGCCAGGTGTGATCCATGTGGGGGGATGGGCACATAAGAGCGGGAAATGTGTCAAATTGTTCTGTGTGTGTGTGTGTGTGTGTGTGTGTGTGTGTGTGTGTGTGTGTGTGTTTGTGTGTGTGTGTGTGTGTGTGTGTGTGTGTGTGTTTGTGTGTGCCAGGTGTGATTCACATGGGGGGATTGGGCACATAAGGGGGGGAACACATCTAGAGTATGTGTGTGTGTGTGGGTGGGTGTTTGTGTGTGTGTTTTTATCCAACCCGGTATCACGGCAAGACGTGAACATGTGACGATCTACCATGCTGGGAGACGTGAATATGTCACGGTTTCGTGCCTTCAAACGTGACAGTTACACGGTATTGTTAACATGGCCCAACCAGTGGAGAAATACCCGGAAGTGCCAAGCAAATGGTCTACCGCGCCTATTGGTCGGTTTTTATTGTCAAAATTAGATGTTTTTAATTTATTTTTTAATCGTCACACTCGATTTCACCGATTTTCTTGTTGCCCTAGCTGGTCGACACCTCTTTTAGCAGAAACAAAGGCTACATTAATGTATTAAATCGATGTTAATCCATGTGTGTGGATCATAGAGTGGCGAAGTCACGCCCATCTACTTCCGCCCCATGGGACCTTATTTCGGAAAAATAATGTATTGAAGTCAATGGAGAGAGAAAACGTATCTTTCGATCCCGTTTGAATTGTGCCATGAATTACACATATGATGTTTGTCAATCTTAAAAAAATAATTTCCATGTCAAAAAAGTCACAGTTTGTCGTAAAACTGTTGAAATAAAAGACTATGAAAAATACGCAACTAGAAAGACTACAAATCCCAGAGTCGCGTAAGTGATGTCACAATTGTTTTCCTCCACTAAGAGATAGCTAAGATCAGCGCCATATAGATATAATCTATCTATATGGCGCTGGCTAAGATAAGATAACTTTAACAAGATGCCTGTGTGCTTAGTACCAGGTTGTTATTATACCAGCAATGGGTCTTGCTCGTTCTTTCGCTTCCCGTCTGATGAAAGGACCAGGAGTACTCTGGATCATGCTAGCTAGTAGCTAGCACGTTAGTTAGCATTACAGCCTTGTCATTTGTATTAGCCTTAACATGAAGTAACATTAAGTAACCCAAAATGTTAAACAGTAAGAGTAATAGTCATATTTCGTGAACCCTTTGAAGAGTACTGTCACCGGTGTGATCATTCTATAATACACCATTTAAGCCCGGGGGAGAAATGCTAACGCTAACACTAGCGATCTTCTCTACTTCATGCTATCTGCACAAATGGTTGACATTAAACATTAAAACGACCAGGCAGTTCAGAGAGAATCAAAGGAAGGCAGGCAGGCAGCTTTGCATGACATTCTTCAGGACGTGTTTCATTGTGGTGATAGTGAGGGTAGTCAATCGTTTTGTTGACAAGACAGTAGTGACGGCCATCTTGGTGACGTGTGTTGTTGACCAGAGATGTAGTTCATTGAGCGTTTCACACAAACAAATGTGTTACTACACAGTTTTACGACACATTTTATTTTTTTTGACTTGCAAAATTATCTTTTAAATTGACAAACATCATATGTGTAATTCGTGGCACAATTCAAACGGGATCGAAAGATAATCTTTCGCTCTCCATTGACTTCAATACATAATTTTTCCGAAATAAGGTCCCATGGAGGTCCACCGGAAAGGGAGGGGAGGGACTTCGCCACTCTATAGAGCGAAGTCCCGCGTTAGCGTTAGCATTTCTCCCCCGGGCTTAAATTGTGTATTATAGAATGATCACACCGGTGACAGTACTCTTCAAAGAGTTCACGAAATATGACTACTACTCTTACTGTTTAACATTTTGGGTTACTTAATGTTACTTCATGTTAAGGCTAATAAAAATGACAAGGCTGTAATGCTAACTAACGTGCTAGCTACTAGCTTCCTTTCATCAGACGGGAAGCGAAAGAACGAGCAAGACCCATTGCTGGTATAATAACAACCTGGTACTAAGCACACAGGCATCTTGTTAAAGTTATCTTATCTTAGCCAGCGCCATATAGATAGATTATATCTATATGGCGCTGATCTTAGCTATCTCTTAGTGGAGGAAAACAATTGTGACATCACTTACGCGACTCTGGGATTTGTAGTCTTTCTAGTTACGTATTTTTCATAGTCTTTTATTTCAACAGTTTTACGACAAACTGTGACTTTTTTGACATGGAAATGATTTTTTAAGATTGACAAACATCATGTGTAATTCATGAATCATGGCACAATTCAAACGGGATCGAAAGATAAGTTTTCTCTCTCCATTGACTTCAATATATTATTTTTCCGAAATAACGTCCCATGGGGCGGAAGTAGATGGGCGTGACTTCGCCACTCTATAACATCTGAAGATGTGTAGTTTTATTCATGTTTGCCTGGCAACGCAATCGCACAACGTCACGTCCGTTAATTCCACATCCACACCAGTCTATGATCCACACACATGGATTAACATCGATTTAATACATTAATGTAGCCTTTGTTTCTGCTAAAAGAGGTGTCGACCAGCTAGGGCAACAAGAAAATCGGCGAAATCGAGTGTGACGATTAAAAAATAAATTAAAAACATCTAATTTTGAAAATAAAAACCGACCAATAGGCGCGGTAGACCATTTGCTTGGCACTTCCGGGTATTTCTCCACTGGTTGGGCCCATGGTTGGGCCATGTTAACAATACCGTGTAACTGTCACGTTTGAAGGCACGAAACCGTGACATATTCACGTCTCCCAGCATGGTAGATCGTCACATGTTCACGTCTTGCCGTGATACCGGGTTGGTTTTATCTGATCCGGATGGTTACTGATTCCTTTTCTTTATGGCGGTCATTTTTGACTGGGAACACCATGGGTGTTACAAAGTTGACTAAGTCATCCAAAATGCAATGAAAGTGGTGATCAGCAATTTTATATGTTCAAATGTCTAATGTGAAGGATATCATAAAGCCTTAATGCAATCGAATCTAAAACAAAAAAGTTAGGATTGATGAAAGTAGTAAATCGGTCAGATTTGACCCGAAGACAACAGGAGGGTTAATCAACCTGCAGAAATTAAATAAAACAGGTAATCTTTCAAGGTCCTTTTTAAGAAATTAAATGAAAACAAATATCTTGTGTCTTGTGTGCCAGAACACTTAAGACATTTTTACATATTTTAGATAACTGGGATTGGTAATTTATAGGCGAAACATTTCCGAAACGATTGCATGAATCGAGAAAACAATTGTCCAATTTGGCAATAATAGACATTGTTGTTGCAAACTTGAGTGGATGGATGATTTGCAAATGTAATTTATTTATGAGGCACATTAGGCTTCACACTTACACAACACCTCGGCCCAGGGCTATAGCAAAAACTATGAAAATCCTGTAAACAAATAGACCAAAAGTGTCTAAGGCCCCTCGAGTGCAACCCAACCCACAAAATGTATGTTTGAAAAGTCACTAAGAAAATCTATTTTTCCGTTTAATATGATTTATTTTTATATTGTATACAGTATGCTGCCAAGGTTATTTCTAGACATTATGTCCTTTTAAAGATTATTATAATAAATATATTATACTTCTAAAGCAATGAAAACACACTTTTTAAAGACACCTGTCAGTTCTAGACTTTACAGTAAAGCTGCACCATCTGAATCACTCATTGTTATGTTAATCTTAAAATATTAAAAGTGTGCCAGAATGTGCTGGCTTTTTTAATGACATTGCAAAATGTAAATCTTATTTCCTTCCAATGGCTGGTACTTCTTCTTTCCCAAAGGTAAGAGTCCCCAGTTGTCTTGGCACCCACTCCCCACTGTGGCATGCAGGGTTTCAGCCAAACAGAAGGGTCGCTGGAAGAACTGCTGCACTTTCTGTTCCACACCTAAGATAAGATAAGATAAGATAAGAAGTACTTTATTGATTCCAATTTGGGAAATGTTTGCGTTGCAGCAGCATAAAAAGACAAGGCATTGTACAAAAGAGAAATTAAAAGAGTCGAAATAAACATCCAAAATGTACCTATCCAAGACAAGAGGTATCAGGGCAGCTGTACTTCTACAAATTCCCAGAATCCTCATGGGGTTATTTGGCTTACTGTGGAGGTTTTAAACAAGAATTGTGTCACTCGTAAAATGTACTATTGATGTGCATTGGTTGGGGTTCTGGGGGCGGCTCTCATGACTCCTCCATATGTGCCTTTTTGTCAGGACAAAAACATATACATACAACATATTCAAGTCTGAATGTTGTACTTATTTTTCTCCAAATTATATTCTATGTAGGATCCAGATAAAATATAAATGCAAATTACAAGCCCACACCTAACCAAACTCATTTTCAGAAAATACCCTTATATGCCAGCCATGCCCCTGATAAATATACAAATGCAAAATCAATCCATCCATCCATCAAACCATCCAAGTTATTCAACCCTATATTTTTAGAGAAGGCATGTGCAGTGCCTGTGTTTTACACAAGGTGGCGCACTGACATCAGTGTAAGCCTGGTGGCAGTGTGTTAATGGTGTTCAGCTTCTTGTACAGTTGTTTTAAAAGAGGAGGACAGGCCTCATCAGAGTGAACATGGGCAGGTCAAATGAACTGATCCCTGAAAGTGTAATTGTTAGTAGTTAGCAGGCTATTTTGCTGCAGTTTCACTGTATCTAATCCATACCTTTCATTCATATCCCACTGAATACATTCTGATGAGACCTTATTTTTCCTTTTATGGTAACAGAGGGCATCCTAAAAGTGAGGCCAAAACATTACGTATTTTTCTCCCTGTGTTTTACAACTTAGAGGTGGCGCGTCATCGCTGAAATATGTATCAGAAACAGTGGGGCTGTGGTCTTTAGAAATATTTCACCAGTCTGACCAACACCTCTCCACAGGAGGGGCGTGGTTAGGAAGAGGCGGCTGCAATCCTATTGGTGGATGGTCGGCCGGGACGACAGGAGAGAAACTCCAGGAAAACGTACGGAGCTCGCGCACGATGTAACGGGAAAGGTTACATTTTTGAGTTAAGAGGAAACTTTGCATGGACATGAGGAATATTTCGGGATAACTTGTTATTTCTAACAGAAAAGCCGGATCTATAAGGAAATATCCAGCATTGTATTCCTCTATTTGAAGCGACAAGGTCTTTTTTAAACAGTTTTTGACCTTACTAAAACATGACTGAATGACAATTTGACGAATGAAAATGCGAATTGAGCACACAGCTGTCCACTGAGGAGAGGAGGTGCTCAGAGAAGCCCGCCAATGCTTACCTTTTGTCGGCACTTCAAAGCAAGTTATTAAAACGTTTTTTTTTTTCGCGAGCTTCAATTAGAAAATAAGGTAACAACATGGCAGAGCACGAGAGCCTGGAGTTTGGAAAAGCAGATTTTGTGCTTTTGGACAACGTGTCTCTGGAAGAATTCATGACTAACTTAAAACTCAGGTAAGCAAACCGCACTGCGGTCATTAACCTTTGTAAATCCACACATGCCCAGGAAAATAGTTTGAACTAAAGAAAACACGTTCAGGTGAGGACAAACATAGCTTGTAGCGTAATTTTAGCCCAAAATGTGTCTAGTTGTTACATTATAGCCGCTCAACAGGTGCAACTTGGCTCATTCAGAGTGTAGTATTCTCTTATATTGTTCGGCATAATATATATGACTGAACAAATCTTGACAAACAATATAGCCTGCCTTTTATGCTAATGTTGTTGTCACTGCACCTGTCACGATACTGCAGTCTTTTTAATTACAATCGTTGGAGTAATGCCACTGCATTCATTTGATGCCTTCTTTCGATCAAACCGGTAATATTCTTGCTGTGTGAGACTCCACCCAAACAACAACAACACACACACACACACACACACACACACACACACACACACACACACACACACACACACACACACACACACACACACACACACACACACACAGGTTTCCATCAGCTGTGTTGTCAGTGGCTCAGTGTCAAGTATGCATTGTGAATGAAGAGAGCTGTTGTGGGTTAACGTGGACTGTGGCTTCACTTTCACCATCTCGGTTCCTCACCTCTGCCATCTGTAATGAAAGTGCAAAAATGATCCCTGATGGCAGTTTGAGAGAGCCTAGAATGACTAGGTGGTTGTGTGGAAAGTCGTGGTACAGTAGATGTCCAAAAGAACATTATAAGTGTAGCTTTCCACAATAGGAAACACATTTGCAATGAGAGAAAGTTTTCTATTTCTGTTTGACAGCAAAGTAAAATGTGATTTAAAAGTAACTAGTTAAGGTGTGAAATTGACATCAATAAAAGAAAGGTATTGTACACATTTGGCAGAAGATATCCTGTCAAAAACACATTTACGGAGATGCGTAGAAAACTAAATTGTCCCTGAATCTTATTACATCTCTCTAATCTAGGAGCCAAAGATATTTTAGGCATTGAGCTGCTTTGCTTTGTGGGAATTGAGTACTATTTTTCTCTGAGCTATGTGGTGAGTTTATAATTACATGGCTTCACCCCAAAATATTCTGGTATAGAGATCATCACAAATTGGAATGGTTGATATATTTTGATATGTTTTAGTTTGCTAAGCTTGTCTCAAAAGCCTGGAAAAGGGCAGGATGGACTATTGACTAAATCATCTTTCTTATATTTTCAAGCTACACTGCTTTATCAGTAATCTATTAGATAAAATCAGACTTGATTCCTGGAGGGGAAAATAACATTACCACAGTACAAGAAAGAGTGATAAGACACAGATAAAGAGCTATACAATAATAAATGACATTCAAGAGCTATGTACATTACAATACCAAGGCCTTAACAGGACTTGAACTGTGTGTATGGAGCTTGGAAGTTGTGGTATGAATCTTATTGTGGACATGATGTTATTCTTTTTATATTTGTATTAGATCTGCTATAGCTTTTTGTTGCAGTGTATTGTAAGCCAATGCAGGCTGGGCATACTGTAGGTGAATGCATGACACACTTGGTGGAGCTCACTTTGTTGATTTTTAAGCCAGTCCCAGTACAACATTCTCGACACACTGCCAGCAGTGAGTTGTAGAATAAATATTTATAGGATTTTAAGGATGCAGGTTTCTCTTTATTGGTTCGTATACTGAATGGTTTCCCTTCTATGGCCAATACAGTGAGCCACAAGGCTTACTTAACTCTTCAAGAAGGATCTCCACACCAACATTTTTGTGATTCTCTTTCAGCCATCAGGGTGATAAATGTAGACGCTATCCATCACCTTGTTTCAAGCCAGTTCCTTCTGCACTGTGGTCATTGCAAGTCTTTTCTTGATACCCTTAAGTTGCACCCCCTGTGTTTCTCCTGGCTCCAGATAGTTTGTGTCCTCTTTTAAAAAATGGTCATACTTTATTTGCATCAAGCTTGTTCGTCATAGTCCCTTTGCTAATGTTTGAGTGTTTAATTAATGCTTAGTAATGTAGAACATCTAGGTCAACAGCAAGGTCTGCCCGTAGGGACATTTTGAAGAGTATATTATGTCCTAAAATGCCATTACACAACAGAAAGGAGGGCTAAGTGTGAATTGGTTCTTGTTTTTGTAAGAACAGATAGTACTTTGTTGACAGTAGGGCTGCTTGTCTTACAGTACAATACATTAAATATATTTTGTGTTTTGGATTGTTGATTAGAAAAAAATACATTTTATTAATGAAATAAATAGTGATAGCCCATTTTCAATCCATCAATATATGTAGAAAGTTATCAGCAGATGATTTGATAATACAAATTATATTAAGTTGTTCCCCTACACTTCTATGCACACATCTAACACATTTAACTGCAGTGTTTCCCCTATATACCATTAGCGGCGGCGCAGCTAAAAATGATTTTTTAAATTTATTTATTTTTATTAAAATAATAATAAGTGGGCGACCATTTTCGATTGTTTGTTATGTGTATTTGTAGTATTTGTGTTACTGTATGTTCAATAAAGGTGTATTTTGCTAAACCTTGAGACATTGCCACTGTATGTAGGCCTCAAGAGCCTTTCTTGTGCTGGCAGACACACAGAAACATATTGGCGGGGCCAGAGTTCCCGTTAGCCGGTAATTACCGGACAATGACCGGTAAAATATGCTGAAGTCCGGCAAATCTAAATCTCTCCGGTCAAAATGTCCGGTCAAAATAATTTTCCCTTAGCGCAATACCGCATCAGTTGCGCCACTTATGTGACAGACAAGAATAGTATGTGACAGACAAAAGAGTATGTGACAGACAAAAATTGTCAATTCTAATGTCTAACACTTAATGTGGAGAAAGAGATGTCCTGTATGGGTTGATTGTGCGTTGATCTGTTGGTAATGCCTCGGGGTTCCGGTGGGCATGTAAACAAATGCATAATGCTGCGCTATACTTTGTGGCCTCATCCGGTTGCATAGCGACGCTTATTGTTTAGGTGTCTTTTAACAAGCAGGTAGTCATATCATTAGCTAGAACTAGCTAGATCTGATCGATATGGACATAAATGCGAGTAAAGTCTAATCTGACAGGAGAGAGAGATCGGCTGCTGCTGACGAGTCGACACGCAGCTCTGCATGATCCCCTGCAGCGGCGAGCAGAGCAAAACACACTTCAGGTTAGAAAATCACACGTAGCTATTTTAATTACCTCTCAAACTACCTAAACTAGTTATAGATATGTTTAGTTTTACTGTCGGGTCACTCATTACTGGATCCGCGAGCTGCATGATACTGACGGGCTGTCAGGAGAAGGAGAGAGCGCTCCGTTTATTATTCCCGCGTTTTTGTAAATTACTGTACACTTTTGAATAATGTAGTTAATCTACTATAATTAGTTTGTTTAATGTCGAATCATATCAATTTGTTTTAAAGCTCAATAAATAACAAAGAAGACCTTTAACCGGCACTTATCTAATTTTGTCCGGAAGATTTCAACTTTAACGGACATGTTGACCGGCAAAAAAATATTCTAACGGGAACTCTGGGCGGGGCGCACTTCGCCCGCGCACACACTAAAGAATTCCACGCGCTCCACGCTCACATTTTGCTGGGTGCCTTAGCACCGCTGCTATGACTCCATCCTAGGGGAAACAATTAACTGTATTAATATGAAGCAGAAAATGTATAAGAGAAAAGAGTTCCAGGTGTGTCTATGTGTCATAGAGGATAAGGCAGTTCTGGTTAACAGTGTTTTTGAGAAAAAAGAGATGAGTTTCTGTGGTGTGCACGGGAGCTCTGGCAGCCAAGCAAGAAGACCTGAGAGCTAGCAGACAGCATGAGGCCCCTTCTCCCATCTCTCTCCCATTTTCTGCATGTTTGTTTTTCTCTTCAGCTAGACAGCTCTGTGCGGACATGGCGTGTGCAGATGCAGTTGAGGGTGTGACCAGCCAGGAGTGCTTCCTTTTTGCTCCTTTGTGGGAGTGGACCACTTGAAGGAGGGGTCCAAAGAGCATGAGGCATCTAATGGTCTCCATTTGTCCTGGTGCAGTTATACAAAACAAGTGAGCTGGCTGGAGCACGTCTGCACATCTCTCCTGGGTGTATTTTACGCTAAATGGGGGAACTGAGTCTTACAGTTAACTGCCTGGCCTAATTAAAGAGACTTTTTGCACACAAAGGTTCTGCTTAACAATATAAATGTATATGATTTTTTTAACAAGTATAATAGATCAATAATAAACCCTCATTGGATTTGGATATTGAAAAGCAGAACTTCCAAAGTAAAGTATTTGAATTTGAAGTGGGTCAAAGGCTGAGCTTTGGTTAGCAGCTATTCATCATGTAGTGACTCCCATTGCCTGAGTTTGATTAGCAACCAACTAAATGATATTGTTGTGCAGGGGATTTCTACTTGTGCCATTAAGTGCTTGCCACGTTGAGAATGTAATCAAGTTCCCAAATGGAGCATGGTTTGGAAAGGTTTGCTGGTTTCCCTAGTTGACATTGACTTTGTTTGACTTGAGGTTGAACTGTGTGGCCTGTTCCCTGTTATGTAGCCTCCCAATCTCTAAATAGAGCCCAGCAGATGCCCAGTTTCTTTATAAAGATGTCTGGTAGGATAAAAGTTCAAGCCAAATTCCTCTAGGGTCTTGGGAATTTGCCTGAATTGACCAGTCGCAGATAAGAATGTTTGGGCTGAAACGGTGCGGACCAAAGAGTATTTATGGAGGGGAATAAACTGATTCAAAATGACGGGAATGGTTTAGAGACTGAAGTCAATTATAGTATCAAAATTCATGTTTTAAAGGTGATTGCTCTCTTGGTTCTCTAAATTGATTTGTAATTGATTCCCCCTGGGATGCCACAAGCCAGACATGGCATCAGAGGAGTTTCGCTAAAAATAGTTCTTGCAGGATGGATGCAAAGAGGGCTTCAGCCACGATGTCCTAATACTAACAGCAGTGAGTGAAGGAAGCTCTCTGTATGTGTGATGGTACTCCAAGCTTACACGTGTGCC